GCTTGTGGGGCGGCTGGTGGCCCAGGGCCAGTGGGCAGCGCGCGGCGAGGAGGCGGACAGGGAAGAGGAGGGAGAAAGCGAGGACGAGCGGGACGCGGCCTCCTTCGACTTCCCGGCCGAGGGGCGACGGGAGAGCGGGACACCAGGAGGAGAGTCTTCCAGCTTCCAGAGCCTCAGGTGAGTACCTCCCTGCTGTGCTTGGGGCTAGCGGGAGGGGGTTCTCCTCTTCCCCACCCCATGGGTTCCCAAACTGGGGGGCGTGCGAAGAAATTCCGGGGGGGTGCAAAGTGATCCAGTCCCCCCGCCATCAAACACCACTCCCCTAAGTTTTGCTGCTATTTTTGTTTTTCGGCCCCGGTTACTTCGTTCGTTCCTTCTTTCTTTCCCCTCAAGTTTTGCTGCTATTTGGGGTGGGGGGCGTGATGCCGAGAAGTTTGGGAACCACTGGTGCTTCCTGCCTGCCCAGGGCTCCTGGCTCCCTGTCTTGTCTATTTTCCCTGGGTTAGCTCCCTTGCTGTGGGCTCGCTTGCTTCCCCCTTTCTTCCTGCCCTCAGGGCTTGCTTGACCCCCACTCTGGCTTTGACGCCTTCCCTCTTGCCACAGGTCCTGGCTGCTCTCCGAGGGTTACATTGCCAGTCCCGGTGACCTCTCCCCGCAATGGTCCCCCGACGGCTCCCTCAGCCCCGTCCTCGAGCTGCAGGACGACCCACCAGGGCCAGGTCCGCCGCCTGCAGGGCTCAGCTTTCCCACTTGCCTGGATTCTCCGTCACTGGATCTGGCTGCTGGGGTGCAGCACTTGGCACCCGTGACAGACTCCGATTCAGCCATGGGGAGCCATGGGGCAGAAACCCCTGGATCAAAGGCATCTGTTGCAGCACGTTTGGGTCCGGTTGCAGCTGCTGGGCACCAGCCGGCAGAGTTCCTGCCAGCCGCAGCACCGGAATTGGCCACTGCACACTGTACAGAGGTGCCAAGCCCAGCCAGGAGCAGTGAGCACAGCACAGCCCCTGAGGAGCTGTTGCCCAACCCAAAGTCCACTGGGACCAAGAGAGAGCGTCCAGCGCAGATTGCGCTGGGAGCTGCTAGTGCCGCCCGCAACCTGCAGGCTCGGGTGCTGCCGTCAGCAACTCTGGGAGAGGAGCTCTCGCCAAACTTCGCTCGGACTGACGGGCCAAATCCAGCCACCGAAGAGTTGTGCCCAGCCATGCTGGTACCATCTGGATCTGGCTGGCATGCCAGGGTGCCTTCAGGTGAGCCAGGTCCCGTGTTGGCACCACTAATTCCTGTAGAGGCTGAGCGGCACGTCACGCCACTGTCTTGTGAGCTGCGCTCGGCATCACCGATTCCCAGCGGGTCCGATCCGGCACCGAGCCCCGTTCCTAAGGATCTGTGTCAGGTGTCACCGATTCCCACCCGGTCCGATCCGGCACCGAGCCCCGTTCCTAAGGATCTGTGTCAGGTGTCACCGATTCCCACCCGGTCCGATCCGGCACCGAGCCCCGTTCCTAAGGATCTGTGTCAGGTGTCACCGATTCCCACCCGGTCCGATCCGGCACCGAGCCCCGTTCCTAAGGATCTGTGTCAGGTGTCACCGATTCCCACCCGGTCCGATCCGGCACCGAGCCCCGTTCCTAAGGATCTGTGTCAGGTGTCACCGATTCCCACCCGGTCCGATCCGGCACCGAGCCCCGTTCCTAAGGATCTGTGTCAGGTGTCACCGATTCCCACCCGGTCCGATCCGGCACCGAGCCCCGTTCCTAAGGATCTGTGTCAGGTGTCACCGATTCCCACCCGGTCCGATCCGGCACCGAGCCCCGTTCCTAAGGATCTGTGTCAGGTGTCACCGATTCCCACCCGGTCCGATCCGGCACCGAGCCCCGTTCCTAAGGATCTGTGTCAGGTGTCACCGATTCCCACCCGGTCCGATCCGGCACCGAGCCCCGTTCCTAAGGATCTGTGTCAGGTGTCACAGCCCTGCCCCTGAGCAGCTGCGTCTGGTGTCACCGATTCCCCCCGGGACCAGCCGGTCCGATCCAGCACTGAGCCCCGTTCCTAAGAATCTACGTCAGGTGTCACCGATTCCCAGTGGGACTGAGCAGCGCCTGTTTGGTGATGACTTTCTGGAGCCCCAGCCCTGGAGCAAATCACGTCCATATCTGGATGGGGCCACCTCCACGCTGTGCTATTTGGAAATTAAATTGAAATAGAGATCTTATTTTGAAATTGGTAAACCTCATTCCACAAGGAATAGCACCAATTCAATTTCAAAATAAGCGTTGTGTAGATGCTTATTACGAAACAGGGGGCCTCCAGCCCTTTCCAGGGTGCCCTGGTGGCCACTCTGGGCACAACCAAGAAAACTCCTCTCCCTTTCCCCCTTCCAGTGTCACCAATTCCCACTGGGACCAATCGATCTGATCCGGCACCAAGCCCTGCCCCTGAGCAGCTGCGTCTGGTGTCACCGATTCCCCCCGGGACCAGCCGGTCCGATCCGGCACTGAGCCCCGTTCCTAAGGATCTACGTCTGGTGTCACCGATTCCTGGTGGGACTGAGCAGCGCCTGTTTGGTGATGACTTTCCGGAGCCCAGGCCCCGGCGTCGGAGCAAATCACGTCCATATTTGGATGGGGCCACCTCCACGCTGGCTCTGCTCCGTGCTCCTGGTGAGGTCCCAGCCCCACGGTTCTTGCCGTGGGGCGTGGAGGAGGAGTTCTGTGCCCCCCAGGCCCCCGCCCTGCTGCTGCTGTCGCGGTTCTCCCAGGCCGAGGACCCCAGCCGCAGCCTGGTGACGGGCCCTGTGCTGCGGGGGCTGCTGGCCTACGTCACCGGAGCCCCCAGCCCGTCACCGCGCTGCCTGAGGCTGCTGCACCGACTCACCTGCAACCCCGTCTGCCTGGAGGCCTTTGTGCGCTGCTACGCCCCCTCCCTGCTGCGGGCCTGGCTGGTGCTGGGCGTGTCCCCAGAGGAGGCTGCTGCCGCCGCTGTGGGTCACGAGAGACCCAGAGGTCCAGGCAGTGGGCACCAGGACGGCAGGAGGTTCAAGGAGCTGGGTGAGTCCTTTTCCCCGCTGAGCCCCAGTCCTGGGCCATGGGGGGCCCCTGGCTGCACCCCGGGGGGGGGTGAGTGCCCCAGTCCCGGGCCATGCTGCGTTATGGGGCTCCCAGGATCCCAGCATGGGAGCAGTCTGTCCCCCTGAGGGACCTGGGGTTTGCTTGGGGTTAATGGGGTCTCCTGCTCCCCAGCTTTTTGTGATGCTTGGACTTGGGCTCTCGGGATCACGGTGCCCCCGTGTGGCAGGGGGTGGGGCTGGGGGTACCAAGAGGGGGGTGGGATTTGGGGGAGTGCTATGCCTGGCTGGTTCCATGGGTTGTTGGGGGGGGGGGAGGGGAGGGCAGTGTTGTGCTGCAGGGGGAGGGGGC